ATATAAAGTTATTAGTGAAGAAAATCCATCTGGATAACAGCAGACTGACTGCTCGTAAAATATACCACAGGTCTGGACCCCTCGTGAATTTTGTTCATATCTTAAAAAAATCTTAGATTACGAGAAAATTGGTGAATGCCACAAATTCTTCTAAATCACTCGTACGCACAGCTTAAGATCAAATCTGTTTGTATGAACGGTTTTTGCGTGAAGCCCATTGTTTTAGTTTTATCGCTGACTCAGCGTAATGATCAGGACTCATTTTGGTTGGTAATTGTAGATTTAATGATTTCTGCTGATTGTTTTCGTTTGTCGTCCAGGTTCATCGAGGAGAAGTCGTCCTTCGAGTATGGCCAGGTGAACCACGCCCTCACGGCGGCGATGAGGACTCTGATGAAGGAGTACCTGATCCTCATCACTCAGCTGGAGCACCTCCAGCGGCAGGGCCTACTGTCTCTGCAGAAACTCTGGTTTTACATCCAACCCACCATGAGGACTATGGAGATTCTGGCGTCTATCGGTAGGAGGAGGAGCATCGTACTTTGTTGCCTGATTCATTCTTGCAAGAATCTCCAGATTAATCAGCAGCACAGAGAAACACAGAACAATAAAGACTATTTTAATACATAAATAATGTCATTTCTCTCATTCTGTCCCAGCCTCCTCGTTGGACAAAGGGGACTGTATGGGCGGGTCGACTCTCAGCCTTCTTCATGATCGGACCTTTAACTACACGGGTGACAGCCAGGCTCAGGAGCTCTGCCTTTACCTCACTAAAGCAGCCAGCGTGCCCTACTTTGAAATTCTGGAGAAGTGGATCTACAGAGGCATCATCAAGGATCCGTACAGGTGTTTGTCCACCATAATGTGRTTTAAACGGGACAAAATGTTCCAGTTAGGATTCCTTTTGTTCTGGACAGTTTAAAACGCTCACAGTTTGTGTCTCGGTTCTGCTTTGCTCAGCGAGTTTATGGTAGAGGAGCACGAGCTGCAGAAGGAGAAGATTCAAGAGGACTACAACGACAAGTACTGGGACCAGAGGTACACCATCGTCCAGCACCGGATTCCCTCCTTTCTGCAGAAAATGGCTGACAAAATATTAAGCACAGGTGAGAACYAAGAAAACCTGCATAAAACAAGCTTCAGAAGCTGGATTTAAATGTGTTCTTCTACAGGGAAGTACCTGAACGTGGTGCGAGAGTGTGGCCGGGATGTGACGTGTCCCGATGCTAAGGAAGTTCTGTACACCCTGAAGGAGCGGGCCTACGTGGAGCAAATAGAGAAGGCCTACAACTACGCCAGCAAGGTCCTCCTGGACTTCCTGATGGAAGAGAAGGAGCTGGTGTCACGTCTCAGGTGAGCAGATCAGAGCAGCATCTCYGACTGACAGAACAGAGTTGAACTAACATCGTCTGTTTCCTTCAGATCAATAAAGCACTACTTTCTGATGGACAAAGGAGATTTCTTCGTGCACTTCATGGACCTGACAGAGGAGGAGCTGAAGAAGCCAGTGGATGACATCGTTCCTCCGAGACTTGAAGCTCTGCTGGAGCTGGCTCTGAGAATGAGCACAGCCAACACGGACCCCTTCAAAGATGATCTGAAGGTGGGCACAGATCAAACTTAATATGACCAACATACACAACCTGATCATTAATATGACCAACATACACAACCTGATCATTAATATGACCAACATACACAACCTGATCATTAATACGACCAACATACACAACCTGATCATTAATATGACCAACATACACAACCTGATCATTAATATGACCAACATACACAACCTCATCATTAATGTGACCAACAT